AAAAAAGAGTTCGATCTATTTCTTTTAAATCTGGTGGTCGCCGTGTAATCCGTAAGAACCAGTTGCTCCGTTCGACAAAAGAAAAGGCAGGCGGCAAACGAGGGACAGACGTAGAAGGCGGCGCGATGTGTGTGTGGGGGAGTTAGTTTCCACAGTCTACGGGGTGTGTAATTTTTTTGGGGTGGTGGGGGAACTCATCAGCGGGTCGCCGTAGTATTGCCCGTGGTTAATCCAGCCCGTCCAGCGCCGACGGCTTCCTCACGCGCTTGATATTCTCTTCTCCCTTTGCCTTGCAGAGAATGAGGCCGGATCGCCTGTGCCACGAAAAGCGGAGGCCGCTTGGAGGGATACGATTATCCTCGTGGTGTTGAGGGGGAGCCCCTTCCTTCCCCGCTCCCGCGGCCTGCAGATTTCCCTTTCCCGTGGAAGAGGGCGAATCTTCGCCCGCTGCAAGGCTGTCCCTTTCCTGCCGGGGGCTTCGGTCGTGGAAGCGTCAGCCGCGGCATGGATGGCCGGGAGTTCGCACCTCCGCCTCCCCTCCTGGCCGAGCGGGGCCACCGCAACAGCTCCAGCCGCCTGGCTTCCGCCGGGCACAACTCGGTGCAGCACGGAGGACACTTCCAGCCCGGGAAATACTTCCCCTCGCCTATCTCCATGGCTACGCACACAGGTCAGTGCGGAGCGCCGGGGTGAAAGGAGCGGAGGGGATCTGAGGGGGCCTTGGAGAGCTGCGAGGAGGCTCGGGCGCCCTGACTCTGCGGAGGGGCGAGGGAGGGGTCGCCGGCACCAAAGGAGGGGCGCCCGATTGAGCTGCCCTTCCCCCCCTCCCCCCAGAAAGAAAGAAAAGGAGTGAGTGTGTATTGTGTGTGTGTGATATTGCAGCAGATCGATCCTTTGCATCGGTGGCTGCGAAGGGAGAAATTAAAAACAGGAACCGGTTTTGCTTCTGCTTTCCAAATGCCCCCTTTTTGCAACCTTATTTTAATGGCTTAGTGGTTTTATTTTCATTTTTTTTCTCTCTTCGCTCTCCGACAATGCATTTATGGATCTTTTCTGAAAGTCTCCGCCAGCGGAGAATCCCGTCCTGAGACCTGCATCCGCGGATCCTCGCGCGTATGAGCGAGGGGACGATCCCGCTTGCTCAGAGAGATTTCATAGGATCGGGGAGCTTGAGAGAAGGAGGGGAACCGCGCTTCTTTCCCATTCTTTTCAGGGGCTCTGCGAAATGGGGGTGTTCAGACGTGCAACGGAGGTGACCCCTTTCTGACCAAGTATTGCCCGGACACCCCTAGCTTGCTTTGGAGCATGTGTGAATATTTTTTGGCAAATCTGAGCAAAATACTAAAGGACCCAGATCCCACTGGTGATATTTCTTTTTAGTCGGAGAAGGCTAAAAGAAAGGCTGATCCACCTCCCTCCCCCTACTACATGCCACTTAATAGAAGGGAAAGCCCACTGTGAACCTCTCCTTAATTTATTTATTTATGTATTTATTTATGTATTTATTTCACATTAACCTCACAAAATTCTTTTGCACAAACAAGACACTTTCTCCCCTCCCCTTGTTATTTGCTTGTGAAGGTGAGCCCCCCCCCCCCCCAATGCTTTTTCAGATTAAGGGTAGCTGTATGTGTGGGGTGAGCATTAATGGAGCTGGTGGTATAAGACTATACAATCCTGTTTCTATATAAAGCCCTGAAGTGTCAGGGTGAGAATGGGCTTTGCAGTGCATGTGTTAGTTTTAACAAGTGCTTGTGGTATCTTGCTGAAGACACAATGTTTGGCAAGAAAAATCAGGGAGGTGGTATGTGCCAGGTTCTTTAGAGATCGTCCATGGCATCCATTTTTAATCAATTAATTGCCTGGGACGGGGAGGGTGTGCAAAATAGCAGGTGTTGGCAGCAGAACATTAGTGAGAATGCGTGCACAAAATGGGGCACGTATGCTTAAAGCAGCTCAGGATGTCAAGTTGCCCATCCCTTGGTTTAAGATCTTTTTGGAAGCAAGATCTTTGGAAGCAAAAGGGGGCATTTCAAAAGCAGAATGGTGTGTCTACCATTTAGAATAAGGTTTTATATATCAGTATGCAAAAATCCAAACAATGGTAACAATTCACTCCCCCTCCCCCACCCCATTCACCCCAAAGCTGGAATGGAAAAACTGGTAATAAAAGTAATAGATGCTTTGAGAGGTTTTGAATGAGAGGTTTTGAAATTTACAAGATTCTGGCTATGCTTCAGAACATCTTCCATTCATTGTATTTTCATAGAAGCTGATGTAGGCTTGCTGCGTTTGTTTTTTACTTTTTAAAAGATCTATCTGAAGTAAATAATTTGGCGTTAGAAACATTTTGTTTTATTTCTTCACGAACGTTTAACATTTCCAGTGTAACTTAACTAGCTTCTCTATTTAATCCATTTATTTAATATGTATTTCTGACCTTAAGGTTTTTTTCATACGGTTGAGTTTTTCAAATTTTGTGGTCAGCTCTGAAAATGTAGTATGTACCTTCATTTGGGTGTACAGTTGTTTATGGGATATATATTTATGGAAGTATGGATTTAATCTTAGATTTACAAAACCACATACAGCCACTTAAGTTTTGTTTACAAGTTACTTTAAACATCAGAAGAGGAAAATGTGTGACAGTTTTTATTTTTCTCTAAACTCAGCAGTAGCAGCCATCGTTATTGCTAGCTTGACAAACTATGAATGGTAATAAAATTATATCTGCTTTAATGGGATTACAATTAGTATATGGATTAAAAAGAATGGCATGAGGTAAACCAGAATGGATAAAAATGATCAAACAGGAGTGCAGACATTTATTATTATTTTTTAAAATGGCATATCCAGCTGCAAATTATTAATTGCTTTTAGCATAATGAGATTTTTAAAAACTCCTAACAAATGCAACATGCTACACATACTTTGTGCTTTATTTAAAATGAATGAATCATAATTCTGTAGGGTTTTATCAGTTTTAATTTTTTTAATCTATATTTCTTTTTGCATACTTACCTACCTCATACAAAATTGAAGATGCTCATTAGACTGAAATCTTAAAAAAAACTGTTTGCATTCAGCAACAACAGAAAGACATTTTAAAATGCAAACCTGGGCAAATTGGATGAGGAGTATGATTTGTGTCAATCACTCTGCTTTTCTTCCATAGTCTGGATTCAACACGCCTTGTGCTTCGAAGCTTTTTGAAATCCTCCTATTGATCTTTTTTATGCTTTCTATTTTTTTTCTTCCACTATGTATATTTTAAATATGAGTATTTTATTAAACTCCTAATTAGAAATATTATTTTTAAAATGGTTGCTGTGATTGTTTTTAAAAAAAATATTTTTAGAGCATGTGCTTAGTTGAACACATTTTTCTTTTACATTAAAGAAGCAAACTGACAATAAATAGAATAAATTATTGATGATATCTTGACACTGATGCACAATTATAATACTGGTCCTCTCCAGAACCAGAATTTGAAATATGTGAATACACAGACTAAGGTTATATGGAATTGCAGCCATTTTTAAATATTTTTCTATGCTTGTTATATAAAGAGTGGCTGACTAATGTCTGACTAAACCTAATGTGTATAATCTGTGTAATTTAGATCAATATAATGAAGAAACACAGAAGGCCTTGATTCAAGATAGTCATGATATATTAAAATATGCGAAGGATACTTCTTAAAGGAAATAGTTGGGAAAGATTTGTAACCTACATTGTGGAAACCAACACACATTTTTAGGAAGTAAAAGAAGCAAAACATGTTAAAAACAGAGCTCCAGAAGGCCAGATATAAAGCAAATCCATTGGGAAGAGATTGGAACGCAAAGTGCTCTACAAGAAAGGACTTAATTTTTACGTGTTCCCAGACAAATTCCACAAGGCATACATTCATTGATCAAGCATGTATTCCAACACTTCCTCCTCCTTAGAATCCTCTCCTTATGGAGATAACTTGTACCCTGCCTGTCCTTACCCCTGAACAGTTTCTGTTTTAAAGCTGGCCATAGAGACCTTGAATTTTTGAAGTTAGCTTTAAATGTTCAGCAAATTGTTTTTCTTATAGCAGAGTGCTGATAGTTTTATAATCCCACTGTAGAAATTTTATGGTAAAGTGCTGTTTTAGTAACCTTGTCACAAAAGGTGCAATTAAAATGTTTTGTCTCATTATTTTTTTGTGCATTACATTCGTGTGCGTATGTGTGTGCATGCACACACATGCGTCTCCCATACAGATGGTCCAAAGTCAAAGCTGTGAAAATTTTAAAGAAAGAAAGAAAGGGGGGGGGATATTAGCAGTATTATTCATCATTATTCCTGCTGAAGCTGTTTGAATTTTCTCATTGCTGTTGATCCTTTTATATGCAAGCAAGAATCTTAGCAAAGAAAGATAGCAGAAGGAAAACCTAAAAAACCAATTGTATCTCACCAGCTATGTATATACACATTGTTAAGGGTGGGTTTTTTTGATAGTAAATAGGAGGTGTTTGAGATAACTTGCCCATCTACAATTTAAACAATTGTGCCATCCCAGACAACTAAAAGGGAGAAAAAGTAATAACTGTTCAGAAAGAACATAGATTCGTAAGCATGGCAAAAGGTCTCAGATATTTTGTTTGAATGAAAATGGACACAGTATAATTCTAGGCTTGTGGGGGATAGGGCGGCTTTGGAAAGAGTACTAGAATTTCAAGTAGATATCATTTATCATTAAATGGAGTAAGGGGGGGGGGGACCAGGAATTTTATAGAAAGGAAGGCTCTAAAAAGAATTATCTGTCCCCATTCCAAATTATCATTTCTCCCATGGCCCCCACATTTCTAAAAAAATAAATTTTAATAAATACTTCACTATGACACCAGTCTGTTTCTGCAACATGGTTGCCATCACTGAATAGGTGCTAAAGGAGTTAATATTCAAAGGTGTATTCTAAAGACTAACCATCTTTACTTATAAATGACAAGTGGCATGAGACATGAAAGGCAATGCAGAGATAACAACTAGAAACTGCCAGTGCTGATCTTTTGCACAAGAATGAGAAGGCGCACATGGTTACACAAGGCAGTTGTGGTTGTACATGAGTGAATGTGTGCGCACGTGCAAACGCAGAAATTAAAGTTCATTTTTGAAATGTACATTATTCCACTGGGAATTGCTCCACTATCTTGTCTAATTATTCATATAAAACATTTTTTTTGCCACACTAGCAACTAATCTCTGTGTGCTAATTTAGGGGCATAGCTGTATATCCACGTGCAAAGCAGTTGTTCTACTGCAAAATTTACATGGCTGCATCTTCAAAACAGACCTAATCCTGAGCAGAGGCTGCTCAACATATGCAAATCCAAATCAAGGAAGACTGTTTAAAATAACAAGCAGAAGCCTAAAAATATCATTTCAGAAAATCACACTTTTTTATATTAGAGAAAGAAATGCCAAACCCTAGAACAGAAAGATCTAAAAATATTCAAGGCTTTGGCAAGGTTCACAAAGTTAAATAAATTACATAAGGGCCATTCATGGGAAAGATTCTACTTACTTTTTACAGAAACATTGTTCAAGTTAATAAAAATTGTAGTTTACTAGCCACCAAGCTATTCGTGACTTTTCATGACTCTAAATTTAATTGGTCAACCTTCTGGAGTCCATCAT